CAGTGTGTGAATGGGTGGATGACTGGATGTGTAAAGCGCTTTGGGGTCCTTAGGGACTAGTAAAGCGCTATACAAATACAGGCCATTTACCATTTTCCTTGTGTAAAAACTCCCCAGTGAGCATGAGCCACCTTTACTGAAACTCTAATAATTTCCAGCATAAATTTACTTACACCAGTAGCCTTGCTAAATGTTTGTAAATAATCCAAGACAGTACCAAGAGTTTCCCCTCTCAAGCATTTCAGAAGGTACAAAGGGAATGTTAATCCACAACACTGTAGTGAAATTAACAGGAAACACATATTCCCAGTATGTCAGCATTTCTTCAATGGTTCCCTGTTAAATCTTGAGTTAAATTTTAAAAACTTTCACTTACATATAAAAGTCCTAAATACTCAAACCCTGTGATATCTTACACACCTCAAATACCATGTTAACTTAATAAAGAACTTTCATCCTCCACTGCAGACTTACTTGCTGCTTGTAGAGAAACGCTGTCTGCTTTTGAGATTAGTCTTATGCTGTTATAGGCTCAGGATTCTGCTGAGCTTCCCATGATGCTCTTAACATTTATTCTCACCTGTTTTCAACTCCCCAGACACTTACATACCACTGCTACATGTCATTAAAGTTTGGTTTGTCTTTTCTCTCACATGGCATGCGAATGGTCTTTGTCTTCGTCCCTTATGCTTTCCTTTTTCTACACTCAGCAGTGGGTGATGACATTAAAAAGGAAGTTTTCCTTCCCACCTTTGCTACCTTTATCCATATTAGATCATCCTCTCAAATGGGCGGAGAGACCAGTCAATGGCCCACTGGTAACTGGCAGTTGCTAGGGAAAAGGGTGTATTCTGGCACCGGCTGGTGATAACATTGTTTGCAAAGAGATATATAACGTTGCACTGAAAATCTCCTTGTGATTGCTTTGATTGCTAGCAGGCTTCCACAAATACCAGTCATTTTCATGGAAGCAGCAGTGAAACTGTGAAAAAGGGAATTAGTGTTGGGGTTGTTATTCAAAAAATAATGTATTACACATTGGTCATTATCCTAAGTCTTGCTGCTGGGCTGGTCTCGGCATTGACTTAGTTTTATCATCACTTTGGATCCTTGGGTTACTTTGTGTTAGCATGCTAGTGTCCTATAGAGTCCTTTTGTGCAATAAAAATAAAAGTACTTTCTATACTATTTTCCTCCTGTAACACTTGGTTGTCCATTGGTTGCGGCAGCAGGATACAATTTTTATTTTGAAAAGTTGTATCCTACTGCTTTCTCTGTGTCCACTTTGGATTGGAATTTCTTGGACGTTTCTTATTACAGCTCAGAGAGTAAGTAGCGAGTTTCTGCAGACAAGTTGGCATCTTTTGTGCAAACTACCGGTGGCAACCTGCTTGTGAATAAAAGCATCACAAGGCCAGCAGCAACAAGTACCATCTAGCAGCCACCAGTTAATCTATGCTTTCACTTCAGTTAGTTACTAAATTTCAAGAACTTTGAAAGTTTCTTCAAGTGCAACATAGAAAAAAAACAATCAAACAGAAAAATAAAGGTTCTCGTTAGGGTCTCACATAATAATAAAGCAAGACTTCTCTCAGTTCAGAGGATAAATTCATCAAGTTACTGGCCTGAGAAAAAGCCAATTAATGGTACACAACATTAACATTTCCGAGTTCAAGCAGCAGACACAACTGAGCATCACCAGCTCTGAGATACATACAATCAAAGAAACCATTACTGAGGGAGACCAAGAAGGAGGATCAAACTGCTTTGTTAAACACACACACCCACACACACACACACACACACACACAGATCCCAACAGTGTGTGAATGGATGTTTGCTTTACAGCATTTTCACACATCTGCTTTATAAATAGTGGAACAATTATTTGCTTCACAGAAGGAACAAGACTTACAGCAAAACAAAGGCTCTGTGAGGGCTACTGGCCTGAAACACACCTTTTTTGGGTTGGGGTATAGCATGAAGGCAAATCCACTTCCTCCTGGGTTGTTGGAATAACTCCAGGTGATGAGCTCATGAAGGTCCTGTAGAGAATAAACATGAATGAATGAGTTAAATGGTAGAGGTGGAGTACACCTTGGACTGGTCACCTGGCAAGAAACTTTTTATATATTTTTTAAATTTCTAAAGCATTCAAAGTGATAGAGGGAAGTAACCATAAAAGTGTCTAGGTAAGAAAAAAAAAAGTTGTCAAAGAAAACTCAAAGACGGCAAATCTACATATAAAATACAATTTTATTAAAAAAATGTAACTTTACCGGCAGCTATGCAGCTAAATATATAAAAACCCACAAGACAAATTTTTTTTAAAGGTCCCAGATGCTGGAAAAAAGAGAATTGCTGAAGATCACAAAGAAAATGCTTTATTCAAAGAAGGAGAACGCAACCTCTCACTATTAGCTTAGGATTGAAACTGACCCAATGAAGTTTTCTGCTTCCTTTCCCCAATATAAAAGGAATTTTAAAAAGCAGCTGATATAGAAAAATACATATAAAAACAAATGTACAGTTAAATGTGACATTTTTTTCTTTGAATTTCCATTTTCCTAGATTTTTTTAAATTTATTTACTTATCAGTTTAATTTCCCATCCACTTCATTCATTTTTGATTCATACAGTAGTCCCATGTCATTCACTAACATCTGTATTTTGTTTCTATTAAAACTAGAGATGGACCGATCTGATATTAAGTATTGGTATCAGTCCAATACTGACCTAAATTACTGGATCGGATATCAGAGAGAAATCGGAGAGAAATCAAAAATGTAATCCGATCCATTAAATATCACATAACTCAGCTCATAACCTTAGCACGTCGAGCAGTATGCGTGACGTGATAGAGTGGCTGTGGCGTGCGAGACCTCTTGGTGGTCTGGTTGAGTGTTTGGAGCCTCGCTACCAAACCAGCATTTCATCTCCAAGAAAGTTATCCCAGAGAGAAGTAAAGCAAGTGTGTAAATTCATCTCTGAATGTTTGTACAGCATTCCCACATTAAGCCCTGCCTCTTCTGCAGGGGCGGGTGTAGCAAAATTTAGCCAGGGGGCCGATAGGGCATTAACAGGAAAAGGGGGGCACAAAAACATACTTTTCTTTCTTATTCTCAGTTAAAATGTCTAGCTTTTAATAAATAACTATCTGAATCTTACACCCAAAGTTTTAATCTGATGTAAAATGTATAGAAGTCCATTACTGTATATAGTAACTATTAAGTCTAATATACCCTAGGAAGCTACTTTTTTCCTTTGGGAAGGTTCCATCTGTGCAGTCTGCAAATTTGTTGAAGAAAGATGTTAAGCATCATGAGGTGGAGGTTGGGGGTGCTTCCCTTTTTTTTTTTTTGCTGGGAGTTGGCAACCCTATTAGTTAGGTTGCTTAATATTTCCGCTAAGTGCTCTTTAAACTACCAGAATAAGGAGGATGGAGTAGGTTTAAGTTTATTAGATTGATCAGTTTTGCTGAACTATGAAATATTTTGGGTGCAGTGTATTTTTTGCATACAGGTTTAACAGAATAGCTTTATTTTTTATTTTTTTTTAAACTTCAGTATGAACTTATACAAAACACAGCAAGATATTAAAAAACAGTTTTATTGATTAAAAAATACACTATATCGGATTCATATCGGTATCGGCAGATATCCAAATTTATGATATCGGTATCGGTATCGGACATACAAAAGTGGTATGTGCCATCTCTAATTCAAACACAGATTGACAAGTTTGCAATACTATTTATAAATAAAAAGCAGTTATTCAGTCATTGACATAATATGCAGAGAGGCATATGGTTTACAGCTTTAAATGTTAGTGTTTGTTATAGTTTCACATTATTGTGTTTAGTTGTTTCAAAGTAATAAAGTGTTATAGCTAATTCACAGAAAACAAGTTTTTGAAATATCTTCTTGTGTTTTCCAGATGAAACGTGCATCTGTCTTTCAGCTGGCTTAAGTGTACATGGAAACGTACATCCACTGAAAATAAGACAGAGATTATTTATTAACAACATTTAAGTATCACCATTTAAACGAATGCATTTTCTTTGTATAAATATTTATATTTATTTATTCGTTTGCTCTGTCAGCACTAAAGTGACTTTATTACCTCTGACTCCTTGAGATGAATGGATTTTCCATCAGACAACTGTTTGAAGATTTCTGTTGAAGAACACAACTTTGAGTTTAAACTGTACAAATCATGAACCTTAATCAAATCTTAGAAGCGAGAAAGATGTTTTCCACTGAAAAAACTTTTCATTCTCACTGCATGAGATTTATTTTCAGCTATCTACACATCTACTGTTGTTATTTCTTCTCGGCTTCACTTACTCTTCATGCAGTCCAAGCGAATCATGAGATTGATGAAGCACTCCAGTGCCATGTGTCCAGAGGAGGCGCCATAGCGCAGAGCCATCAGACTGAGCATGTCATCTGAAACCTTCATTCCTGAAGAACACACACAGTCAGACTTCAGGAGGAGTTTGCTTATCTATCCATCTATCTAATTGCATTATTAAGCTGGTATGAAATCCCATGCCATTTGTGAGGATGACAGACAATAGTCACAATATTCAGCCATGTGCAAAGTCATAAGGATGACCTGACATCAAGAGTAAGTAAGTAGGATGTGGGCAAACAGCTGGACTCGGGATCATCTAATCTTGCCATCAGGCTTTAAATATGTTTGGAAAACAATCTCATCCAGCTCCAAAGGAGCTATTCAGGGCTTTGGTTGTTTCATGGGATGGGTAGTGTACAGGGAGGGAGGTTCTCTTGAACCTGTCCTGTCTGGCTGATGCAAATAAAGCAGAAGTCACAGATAAAGGTATATTTTGCCTAACCAGATAATAAGGACAAGGGGAGCAGGTATTTGCAGATATTAGGAACCCTCATTTCCCCTCATCCAAATGCACCAGGAAGTGGTTTGTGTGCTTGTAACTTTATGATGATAATTTTTATCCAAAATTAACATGTTTACTGTGACGTTTACAATATCATCTATATAATGAATATATATTAATTATACAATACTATACTAAAATTCTTGTATTTTTTCTAATGATAATTTATGCAGTTAAACTATAATCTAGAATTTTATTACATAATTTAATGTGATTCAGTGTTGCAGTATGAAGCACAGAATAGTTTTTTTTGTTCATACTATTTATATTTGAACATATTACATTTATATTAAATGTACTGAATCCTTGTCTGATATACCTGAAGCTACAAATGCATTCCTCAGCTCACTCAGTGACAGCGTTCCTGTTTTTGAAACGTCGGTGAGGAAGAAAGTCTCCTGATAAGAGAAGAAAAAAAAAAGAAACTGTGATCAGGGAAAATCTTCACATCTATAGCAGATGTATTGATATATGTTTTAAGGCTGTTTTTTTCCCTTTACCTTGTACTTGGTGACCTTGTTCCACAGACGGACGAATTCCTCACTGTTTAGTTTGCCTGTGATCGATGTCTTTTAAAACCCACATTAAGGTAGCAAAGGGACAAATCTTAGTCTGGTTTTTCAGATGAGTAATGCTGGTTATATCAACAGAGAAGCACTCAGGTTTGCTTACATATAGACTTCTGCAATTGTTACTTTTCAACAGCTCAAAAAGGCAAACTACAAAGTTTCTTAATCTGCTTTTTCCAGTATCACATGTATTATAACAGGATACATCCATTAGAGCCACCATGCTGCGACAGGCATCAAGGCTGAACCCTCCAGATTTCATTTCTCCTAAATAAAACAGAGTTGAATTAGCAAAG